CCATGCTTTATGTTATGAAATCCTTTAGGAAAATCGTGTCGGCATACTCGGCCGAAGACACCTTTCTCATCAAAGAGCTTGTTTTTCCCCTTGGATCTCAAAGCAGTTAGAACCTCTCCGGCATGRAATTTACTACAGTTCTGTAAAAAATAAGGAATAAAAAACAGTCATATATAAATGCCCTTTCAATGGAGTGACGTTGGAGTGTGCATAATAAAAAGTCATTAAACATGTCAATTTTAACAGCAAAGAGATGTATTTTTTTCTCTGAATGTAACAGAAAGAGTGGAAAATTTGTCTAGCTTAGTGGGCTACAACAAAAAAATACCTGGCCATGCATGAATAATCTGAAGTAGATCGGAGAGGTTTTTACCTGTTCCATGTCTGCCCCAGCTTTACCATAACTGTTGACAAGGTTATCAACATCATCCTGATCTGCAAATAGTAGTGTTCCATGTTTTGGTGTTCCTAAATGATGTCCCTTCTCCTTTTTCCTGCATAGTCCAAAACACCCATCCATGCTTTCAATGAGAACACCCCCATCCTGTTGAAAAAACRAASAAGAGTAAAAAAAAGGAATCTAACAGTATATATTCATTTGAAGAAATAGAAAAATTGTGCATGCAAGTGCTTGCCCAGGGATGGTAAATATGGGTGGCTGGGTGAAGTTCTTTCATTGGTTAGTTCATTGCTAGACTTATTATGGCCATGGTCACGTGGCTATTAGTCTCCCTCGCATCCGTTTTTAGTGTCGGTCGTCACKCAACGCTCCCTCCGTACAGCTGCAATGCATATGCCCCTCTCCACTCACTTTGAAAAAGGCTATTCTGCCGTAATGCTATCCTGAATAAGACATATATGCACTTAATTCCAACTAATAGAATCATGATATTTATGATAGTTATAATACGAAAATAGTTGTACCGTTGGACATAAAGGACACAATGCGCCATTGTAGAGGTCTTTAACATACTTTGTCAAATGCCTGTATTCATACATGAAGTGCCTACATGTGAAAAAAAAAAACAGTTTAATATTGTTACTTCGATGAAATTGTTCAGCAATTGGACTGATAAGCTGTCGAACAACTCTTCGAGCTAGCTTCTGCTCAGAATTTCCTTCCTCTTTGCCTACGTAGACCTGGAAGTTGTATACATAGACTGTCGTAACCTCGCTCAAAGCCCACAGCTTTATGCCCCAGCAAACAGGTTTATTCTTGATGCATTGCTTGAATTACAATCTTCCTTTATGAGGCACCATTGTCTCGTCAATTGAAATTTGCTGATGTAAACTATACAATTCCTGGGAGTTTCTCAAAATAATGTCTAGAAAATTTCTCACTCGATAAATTTTATCATATCCAGGGTTTCCTCTTTGTACAGCTGTGTCATTATCAGCGAGATGAAAATATCTCCAGATCTGAATGAATCAAGTTTTGATCGTAATAGAAGCAATTGCTTGCTGGTGTGTATCAATATATCGCTACTCCAATACATTTCAGAACTAGGAAATTTGACAATCCCCATGAAAATAAGAATGCCAATAAATGTTTTCATCTCATCTTTTGTAACAGGTGCCCATTTTCGCTTGTGCTTAGCTGGCTCGGCTGCTGCTTGTTGATCATGATATCTGTTTGTTTCTAAAACTATTATATCCTAAATGTCAAAGAACAAACCTTCAGAGGTGTTTGGCCCATCAGGATATCTCTGTGTTGGCCCAGGTGAAGGTTCGGCAGAAGGTGTGTTGACTGGAGGGTTGCAATTTGAAGTCCATTGTAATTCAGGATCGATTGGGCGACAACCTCCAGCTCAATTTCGTCTTTGAGCTGCACAAACTCATCTCCCGCGTTCTCTACCTTGTCTTGCTCCTTTTGCAGGTAAATCATGAATTGGGCGATAGTATACTGGTTGCACATGGTCGTGCTGTTCTTTTAGCTGTAAATATAGATAACAGTGCCGTGATACTTGACTCTGATAGTCATGGCAGTAGAGGTGCAACAATTGGTTTTTGCATAGCTGAAAATATTTCATATTTAGGTTGCTGGTTTGCTAACATGATGCAAAATGGTTGGGGTACTACCTTAACGATTGCATCTCTTTCAAGGATTGAATATTAATCGATCCCTTAGTTAGAGAGATTGGTTTTTATATGTTTGATATTTTTCTGTTTTACAATGTACATACATTAGTCTGAAGTGAGCTAAATATAGTTATATAGAGACAAAAAGGAAAAAATAGTGAAAAAGAAGTAGGTTATTATGATATAACGTGACAGGAGGAGGATAGAGAGACTTGCGACTTGCGTCCCAATTGACAACCTTCCCCTATTGTAGTAAAACTGAAAAAGCAACAGGAAATACTTCTTAGAACAATTTTGCATTATGAAAAAATTAGTATGAAATAGCAAGAGTGGAGAGGTCTAAAAGTTATGACCTTGAATATTCTATCAAAGAATACTGGACTAATTCATGTGGTAATTTATCATAAGCTCATTCAAGTAAATCAGTTGTTACAGATGAATAGCATGCGCCGTCATGCATGCGAAATACAATACGACATGAGAAAATAAAAATAAACATACTACAAACGAGTATTATGGATCAGACATGCAATAACGGTTCTTATCTGGTTATATTTCAAGCCTGTTATTTCCTTTATCTCCAGCAGCTGTTATTCCACTTTTTAGAGTCTGACTCTCAGTAGATCTGAATGACTGACGAGTCACCTCCATGTCCATAAGGACTTTCAACCGCTCGCTTTCATTCCCCAATCCATCAGCCAATCCAACAGCCAGAAGATCTATTATGTATACTTGCACAGTCGCTTTGGCCACGCTTAAATTGCTGCCAATTTCAGAGAAGGAATCTCCAGCACGCCAGTGCATAAAAGCTGATCGCTTCTTTGAGCTTGTCGCTAGCTTTCCACACAACTGCTTAAGTCCACCTAAATAGTGGGTAGAATGAGAAAAGGGCAATTACGTTTTGACGTCGTTGAATATACCATAAGTATGAAGAGGGAAAGTAGGAGGATAAAACTCGAAGAGGCTAATAGTGTACTGAGAACTCGAAGTCATTGAGAATGACTATTATAAAAAGCGAGAGGCTATAGTGTTCTGAGAACGGAAAGTAGGGGGATAAACGCAAAGTGATAGGCTATAGTGTACTCAGAATTCGAAGACATCGAGAATAACTATGATAAAAAGCGAGAGTAGTAAAGGTAAATCCTGTGATATGTTCAAATATGAAGCTTACCGAAGAGCGTTTTGGACGCATTGCCACGTGGCCCTCGGCCATTGTGTCAGTGCATCGTGTCAGCACATCGTTTGTTCCTAACGAGAAACGCAGATTTTATAGCAAATCGATCCAACAACTAGCATAACACAAGATAGTATTTATTAGAATTTTTTTTACCTACCTCTTACCACTTTCCATGATTTCAATAACGAACAAAGTTACAGTTATCAAAGTTATGAAAACACAGCGACGCAGAGATGGTACTAGTTTTCACTAATAATTTCGACCACGCAGTAATATGAGATCAGAATTTACTTACGAATACAATAGAGAAAGAGGTGTTGTTTTGAGTGAAAGATGCTGAAGCAGACGTGCACAACAGTGAGTCATTGTTTGAGTGACCACTCTGCGAGAAGTAACTCAGTCATGGACGTACACTCGCACATTTGGTGTTTCATTTTTCATTTTCTTTGCCCTTCAGACTTGGCAAGAGTAGGAGTAACATGTTTTGCATGGCTTTTGCAAGAAGTACCTAGGAGAACTGCCGCATCTGGATATTTTACGTAGTGGCAATTTTTCAATTTTGGGTTTGGCGTGTGTTTGCTCCTATAAAGAAATACGTATTATCCAAGCACATGGGATGAAGCTTTCTCCAAAGGAATGTTTGTTCCTCCTGAAAACATTTGATTCCGTAGCCAGAAGAACATGCCAGGTCGAAACCGCTGATGGCGAATATCTACTAGCAACATACCGCTTGTTTAGAAGGGAACTAGACTCTTGTTGAATAATTTATATACCGTAGGACGAAAATCAATGACTTCTATATTATTTTCTTGAGATTGCATCATGTAATATATGCCGAGTAATATTATTATTATTCTTAAAAGCATCGCTTCATAAATGTTTACGAATTTATATTATGTTTTGTGATTGAAATAAGCATTTTGATCTAATTTGATCGTATTCGTTCTCATTTTAGCAGCCAGAAAAGGGCACCCAGAAAACAATAGAGTGGTTTCAAGTTTACCCGTCAAGTTCTAAGACAACGAGCTGTGGCAGACTTAAATGCAGTTTATATCACTATTCCCCATTTAATACTTGAAATGATAAATGCAGAAATTCAAAATTATTCCCTATAAAATCTTGTTTTCTTTGGAAAATTGGACTTGAAAATTTGGAATTCCTGCTTTGATACTATAGGAGGAAGACATGACGCACTTTTTCACCTACCGGAAAGATATAGGGGTACTAATAACCAAATTGCCCCAGTTTCAATACGAAAACTATGAAATTTTTTTAGAGTTTTGTGAATACGTGCAAATTTTTTGGTCAGCCAGAGCTCATTAATGGCCCAAAAACCATCGAAACGGCTTCTAGCGCGGCCAAAATTTTTTATTCATTTCAGTGATAAAATCAATGAAGTCTTTCAATAGCCAGAATTTGAAAAAAAAAACATTTTTCAAAATAAATTCAGTGGGCGGCTTTTACCGAGACGGCCTCTTAAAGGTCCATTGTTTAAGTTTTGTGTTAGTCATTTTTGTTGAAGGTGTGTGGAATTTTTTGGAATGTGATGCGGGTGTACACCCAGCGTATGACTGAACATAAGCCTTCCTCCCCGAAACCTTACACATGTGCAAAGGGGTGAATTGAATTTACGGCAAATAACTTTACTATCCGCTGTTGCAAAGGAATTAAAAGCGCTAGACGTACGGTCGCGCAGTCGTGCTTTTGTGACATTAGTCGTGACCTGCCCTGTTAACGAGATTAGTGTATTGAGTCGAATCTCCATGGATAATCGTACATCGCATGAATTTTCCTAAATTCGTTATCATACATTAAAACCGATTCCCAAACATAGCGATTAGCTAATTCCTACGCTTAGTCATGCTGAATTTTAATCATAGTTTGACAAATTGCCTTTAGTTACCAAAGCACTCAAAACATTCTAGCATTGGCAATCACCCACTGTTGAAGGGTTACGTTCTCTAATTTCGATTTCTTTGGTCCATAGGACACGACAATAATGATAATGATGATAATAATGATAATAATAATAATAATAATAGTAATGGGGTTCTTATATATTGCATTATCATATTGTCTCAATGCGCTTTACATTGCAGTGGAGGACTTTATGGGCTGCGTATTAAGGCGTTAGTAGCAGCCGTGCAGCTTACAATCATGAGTGATTTATTAATACGTTAGTGTTATGCCTCCAAATTGGGATAGGCTGACCCCTGTTTTACTAACATTTCCTAGTCTTCCAAAGGAATTATATTGTCAATGAAATCTACTATCACTAATACTTTCTTATCCCTGTCCATAGACGTTGCTGGCTTTAGGAACATTTCTGAAGTGGACTTTTGTTGTTGCTGCTGCTGTGGTGATTGCTTGAGTCCAAAGGTTTCCTCGAGGCATTTGCTGCTGATTATTCAATGATGAGGTCATCCAATGGCGAAGTCCAGGGATCTCGTGGCTCTGCTCTTAGTTTTTCCACACTGGCATTCCTTAAGGCTGATTTCTTGCGTAATTCCCTTGCGTCTCTCTGTCTTTGCCAGTTCTGCTCCTACATTTCTAATCCCCGAAGCTCTTTAGTGAGCTCCTTAATTTCATCTTGGTCGTCGTCAGCCTCATACTTTTCAAGTTTTTCCAAATTATTCGATTAAAAAGCCTGGAATATATGGAGGTAAAAGACAAACATACCTTGACGTATACGCCGACTTCAAATTACTGCTTTAGAGGTGGTCGTCGGTCTGAAGGTGAGTGCCACAAACCGTATAGCACTTGTTTATTGTGTAGTAATGTAGTGTATTCGATCTAAAACATGCAGATCACATAGCTTAATATTTACGATTACAATCGTGTATAATGAATCATAAAATTCACACAACTTACTTCTGTGGCGACTATATAAAGACATACTTCTTACACTTCCATAAAATTCCAAYCATGTAAAGTACAGGTTAGCAATAACGTCTTGATAGTCCAGGTTAGCAAAATACGTGTCATACATTTGTGAAAACCAAAAAAACTGACTTGATACTCATTTACATAAATCAATGTTATCATAACACGTGATAAAAGTCCACGTGACATAAGTCACACAATCAATGTTCAATAATTAGCATAAATTTAATCTAAACATCCTYCACCCCGATGAGGGCATAGTCTTCATCTTCAATTAGCATCTTCTTCAACAGGGAGAATAACCGCTACCTTCGAGACTGGTCTTGAGTACGTACCAGTTGCTGTCTTGAGTTGTACATTTCGTACTTTACCGTCTCGACCGGGATACACTTCAATAATCTTGCCAATGGTCCATTTACCACGGACTGCATTTTGGTCGTTCATCATGACCACATCTCCAACACGAATGTTTCGTCTGTCGGTCTTCCATTTCAGACGTGGTACTAATTGAGGGAATACATCTCTCGACCAACGTTTCCAGAAGGATTCAACTATTTGTTGAACAAACTCGACTCTTCGTCTAGTGTTGGCTGTCTCCTCAAAGGGACCTTGTGGCACGTGGGTGDATGCCCTTCCGAGCAGCATATCGTTAGGGCATATGTAGGCTCCATCATCTGGGTCGTTAGGGACTCTGCCAATTGGTCGTTGATTTACGAGGTTGGCTACCTCTAATAGGCATGTATATAACTCRAACGGAGTTAAAACATGTTTGCCAATAGCTTTCTTTAGAGCATATTTGCAGCTCTTTACCAAGGCTTCAGCGCACCCATTCTGATGAGGAGCTCCTGGGGTTATGAATTTCCATTCCATGCCTTTGTCAGCACAGTAATCTCGCAGCTTATCTTGGTCCCATCCCTTAACCATCTGTCTTAGTTCTTTCTCTGCTCCTACGAGCTGGGTTCCATTGTCACTAATCATGAGCGATGGGTAACCTCTAATAGCAAAAAATCTGCGCAGCACTTGAATGAATTCCATGGTTGAAGCATCAGTTGCTATTTCTAAGTGTACTGCTCTAGTGTTCAGGCAGGTAAATAGAACACCATAATGCTTTGCTGTTTTGTTACGTCCGATTTTGACTGTAATTGGGCCAAAATAATCACATGACGTATAGTAGAATGGTGGAGTGCTCGGGGTTACTCGGCATTCTGGCAGGCTGGCCATAAGCTGCTTCTCTGTTTGTGGCTTCATAGCTTTGCATGTGACGCATCTGAATTTGATCGTTTTGACAATACGGTGTATCTTCAGTATCCAATAACGTCTCCTGATCTTCGCAACGGTGCTTGCTATGCCGGAATGGCTAGACTCATGGTTCTGTAGGGCGATTAGGTAGGAAACTCTGCTTTCCTGTGGCAAAAGTAACGGGTGTTTGGTATCGTATGTAACAACAGATTCGTCAACTCTTCCTCCAACTCGTATAAGACCTTCATTATCCACAAACGGGCTTAGGCAACTTAACTCACTGCTCTTGATTCTTGCTTTCAAACTTCTTTGAGCATCCTTTATGATGGTCTTCCTGGCTTGTTCCAACTCTTGTGGTGTGAGCGTTCCTGACTTGTTGGTATAAGCTGGGCTCTTTCTTGCGTGTAGATTATTTACAAATCTTTGAAGCCATGCTTTAACACGAATAAGCGTCTTCCAGCTGGAGAACCTGCTGTAGTCAATAAGGTCTGGCGACTTGACTGCCGTACATACTGCCTTTGGTTTCTTGATTTCTTTGTCAGCATCATTGCAATGCTGGTTTSATTCGTTGTGCGTAATGGGCCACTCTTCTTCGGGGCATTTCAGAAATGCAGGACCATGTTTCCATCTTTCATCAAGTTGTCTGATGGACAATCCACGTGACAGGTCATCAGCAACATTGTGCTTGCCAGGAATGTGATTCCACTGTGCTGGATCAGAGTTGTCTTGAATCTCTCCAATCCTGACTGATACAAATGGCTTGTAGATTCTTGCTTGGCTACGTATCCAAGCTAGTACAATCTCGCTATCGGTGAAGAACATCACCTTAGTAAACTCAATCCTCGTCTCCTCTTGGATGCTTCTGGATAGTCTAGATCCTATGACCGCGCCTTGGAGTTCCAATCGTGGTATCGTCAGAGCTTTGATAGGTGCTACTCTAGACTTGGCTGCTATGAAACGTACTTCAAATGTTCCATTGCTGACKTGCCATCTGATATATGCGCACGCTCCAAATGCATCTTGCGATGCATCAGTGAAAATGCATAGAATAGGAGAATGTGCGCTTTCGTCAGGAGTTAGAGAACGATCAAATGTTACAGAGTTCAGTTCCTTCATTTCTTCGAACAGTGCAACCCATACTGCCTTGATATCGTCTGGAAGCTCGTCGTCCCAACCAAGCCCTCTTTGCCATAACTGTTGTAGACCGATTTTTGCTCTGATGAGAAAGGCAGATGCGAATCCTATGGGATCATATATCCTTGCTACTTGGCTCAGCACTGTTCTCTTTGTCAACTTGCTTTGTTCTTTACACCTAATGTGATTCGGGTTAACTTTAAAGGTAATCGTGTCTTCTTCATTGTTCCACACAGCTCCGAGTATCTTCTCCTCGCTTTGTAGAATTTCGACCTCCTGTCGTTGCTGATTTGAAGAGCCGTCTAAGACTTTGTTCGAAATCCATCCCTTTGCCTTGAAACCTCCACTCTCTAGTACTTCATCTAATTCTTTGATAATCCTTTCAGCTTTCTCTTTGGTGTGTACTGATTCACAGATGTCATCCATATAGGTGTTCTCTCTGAGTGTCTGTGCTGCTTCTGGGTACTTCTCTTGATTTTCATGTGCTGTTTTGCGTAGAGCAATCTGAGCCATGGCGGGAGCGGGTTTGTCGCCGAAAGTAAGCACAGTTTTGACRTAAACACCTGGTTCTCGTGTCGTGTCTAGGTTTCTCCACAGAAAGCGGTGAACATGTTGATCTTGCTCAGTGATCAAGACTCTATGATACATCTTGGAAATATCTCCTGCGAACGCTACGATATCTTCTCTGAAACGCAGTAGGACACCAAATAGATTGTTTAGCAAATCCGGGCCTTTCATCCAGTAGTCATTCAAGCGATGACCTTTGTAAACTGATGAAGAATTGAAGACAATGCGCACTAGGGTACTATTTTTTTCTGGCCGGATGACAGCGTGATGTGCTATATAGTGTATAGGCCCTTTGTAGTTATCAGCCTCTTCTCTCGTGAGCTTTCTCGCAAATCCCATCTCTTCCAGGTCAGTCATTWGTTTGTCGTAGATGGCTGCTTGCTCAGGATGTTTTGAGAGTCGTCTTTCTGTAGACTCAAGGCTTTTCAGTGCTTGGGCCTTGTTGTCGGGTAACTGGTTTGGATCTTTTAACCACGGATAGGGTACTAGCCATTGATTTCCCACTTTTACACAGGATTTCTCTATTACCAAAGCCTCCTTCTCGACAGTACTGAGGTGATCTAAGGAGCCTTGCTTCGGACTTACGCCCATTGCTTCTGTTGTCCAGAAACTCGTAAGGTCTACTGGTTGCGCATACTTCACGTGTAATGCTAACTTCGTTGATGTACTATCAATGTCGTCAGATGGGGATCCAAAAACCACCCATCCCAGGGGAGAGTGTCTTGCAGCCAGATTTCCACTTTGTCTCGTTTCTCCAGTGTGCATGTGGGCGTGGTCGACCCCGATTAGCAGGTGTACAGTACCCTTTCCTCTTTTGATGTCGGTTTTCCTCAGGTTTAGTCGTTCTGTTATGGTCTGAATTGGCGCTCCGCTGACGTCATCAGTAATGCGTGCTAGCCCGATTGCGTTAGAATAGAATAGAATAGAATACCTTTATTTAAACACGATAAAATTTAAAGCTAAAAGCTTGTGGGGTCGTGATGGGTGCGTTGATGGTATAACTCTTATTGTCGACTAACGATGTGATGGGGACTTTGTAGACATGCATCTTTATGACCTCTTCTTCTCCGCCCACTTTACTCAGGGTTATTGATACAGGTTTTCCTGTAAGTCCTAGTTTGTCGGCCGTTTGTTGGCAAATTATACTTAACTGCGCACCAGAATCAAGCATGATGTTCCCACGTTGACATAAACCATTTCTTCTGCGTATGTTACCCGAGACAATAGGCAACAGGGCGTCATCTGAACTGCTAGTCGCTGCAACATTAGCRCGCACAGAGTTACAGTGTAACAGCTGATGATGGTATTGTGTACATTGTACACCGTTAATCATCTCAGGGCATTGACGTCTTCTTGAGCAGTTTTGGGATTTGTGATCTCTTCCCGCTTTTTTGAGGCAGCTGAAGCAAGCGTGGTTGTCCTTTACTGCTTTTAATCGATCACTTGCAGGCTTTTCTTTGAAAACCTGACATTGATCAACCCAGTGATCAGAAGATATTTGCAGTACCAGCACTTGTACCAATTCGTCGCTTTGCCTTTGTTACCGGTACTTGTAACGTGATGTACACTTTGACGTACATTTCCCTTGTGATGACTAGCATCTCTCAAAGGAGCCGCCGCTCTCATTCTTGATTTCATCTCTGTTGTCATCCACGTGATAAGCGCTTGTAATGTCGGCTTTGTCTTTTCACGCTCCA